TTTAAGTCTATTTTTGTGTGTGGTGTAAGGAAATGGTCCACTTTCTTTCTTCCGCATGTGGCTGTCCAATTTTCCCAACACCATTTGTTAAGAGACTGTCTTTTTTCCATTGGACATTCTTTTCTGCTTTGTCGAAGATTAGTTGACCATAGAGTTGAGGGTCCATTTCTGGGCTCTCTATTCTGTTCCATTGATCTATGTGTCTGTTTTTGTGCCAGTACCACACTGTCTTGATGATGACAGCTTTGTAATAGAGCTTAAAGTCTGGAATTGTGATGCCGCCAGCTCTGCTTTTCTTTTTCAACATTCCTCTGGCTATTCGGGGTCTCTTCTGGTTCCATAAAATTTTAGGATTCTTTGTTCCATTTCTTTGAAAAAAGTGGATGGTATTTTGATAGGGATTGCATTAAATGTGTAGATTGCTCTAGGTAGCACAGACATTTTCACAGTATTTTTTCTTCCAATCCATGAGCATGGAATGTTTTTCCATTTCTTTGTGTCTTCCCCAATTTCTTCCATGCGTATTCTATAATTTTCTGAGTACAGATCCTTTGCCTCTTTGATTAGAGTTATTCCTAGGTATCCCATGGTTTGGGGTGCAGTTGTAAATGGGACTGACTCCTTAATTTCTCTTTCTTCTGTCTCGTTGGTGTATAAAAATGCCACTGATTTCTGTGCATTGATTTTATATCCTGCCACTTGACTGAATTCCTGTATGAGTTCTAGCAGTTTTGGGGTGGAGTCTTTTGGGGTTTCCACATAGAGCATCATGCCATCTGCAAAAAGTGAGAGTTTCACTTCTTTGCCGATTCGGATGCCTTTTATTTCTTTTTGCTGTCTAATTGCTGAGGTTAGGAGTTCTAGTACTATGTTGAATAGCAGTGGTGATAGTGGACATCCCTGCCGTGTTCCTGACCTTAGGGGAAAAGCTCTCAGTTTTTCCCCATTGAGTATGATATTCGCTGTGTATTTTTCATAGACGGCTTTTATGATATTGAGGTATGTACCCTCTATCCCTACACTGTGAAGAGTTTTAATCAAGAAAGGATGCTGTACTTTGTCAAATGCTTTTTCTGCATCTATGGAGAGGTTCTTGTTCTTTCTTTCATTAATGTATTGTATCACATTGATTGATTAGATTGCAGGCTTCTCTAATTAGATGCTGTTTATTAAAAACGATTATGGGTATAAAGTTGGAAGAACGGAGTTATTGATGAAAATGCAAAAGGAGACAAAATTTTAAGCCATAAAGCCATTCAAAGGCAGCTTTTTGCAGACAATTAGAGACAGAATGTGTTTACAGAAGTGTCAATCTCCTTCTCTGACTGGTATAAGAACTTGTGGGAAAATTTGTAACAGCCATCTTTTTGTTATTTTTTTTCTTACCATAAATATATTTTCTGTGTAACGCATATTTGACAAAGTACTCTTTCAAAATATCTAGACCTCAGAGGTTACTACTCTGTTTTACAGATTTTATAACTGTTAATCTCTAGAAAATTTGGCTTGCTAAATTGGTTGCCTTGCTTGGTAATTGGGCATCCAGGACAGTAATATTCAAATTACCAACTCCAACTTCTGAAGCACAAATTCTTGTGTGGTCTCTTAGCCAAGAAAGCCCTCAACATTGATCTCTTTTCATTCTCAGCTTCAAGGTAGAAAATCCACTGATCTTCTAGAGTAGTCACTTACATTAAACCAACATGATGAAGGACTGTCCCACCAGTTCACCCCCTTCCTCCCCACCTGCAGACTCTCCCGCTGCTCCGGGCCATCTGAAAGTTGCTTCAGAGAAGCTTGCTTCTCTTTCTGTGCCAGGATGCATGTGGCACTCTCTGAAGTTCAGTAATTCCCTAATTCCCAGGGCTAAGTTTGGGTGTTTGTCACTATTATGATTTTTCCTAAGAAGTGGCATTCCAGCATTCCTCAGTTCAAGGAAAAAAAACAAAACAAAATCACAGCTATCTATTTTTCCCCATTCAGTTTTGCTGATGTCTTCCCGTATCATAACAGCAATCCCAATGTTGGCTCTGCTCTCTGTCCTTGGGGCCATCAACTCCTCATTTCTGACACTACTGAGCACCTAAGGGCTGCACACTGTGCCAAGTCTGTTATGTCAGTGATCCCACTTGATTCTCAGAACCCAGCCACAAAATGAGTATTATCATTTTCAGATGCGAAAGACATTTCAAACGATCTATTCTTTTCCTCAACGTTGAGAGTTTTCTCAAGCTGTCCACATGCTGCAGTTATTCTGCTGTCTTGAGTTCATCTACATTCTATAATGTCACTATTTCTTTCTCCCTCTTTCGATATCAGTTGTCTTTCAATGTTTTGTCTTTTTTCAGTAAGTCCATGTCTTGTTCAATTCCTTGAAAGCATGAAAGAGCTTCAGCATAAAAATTCTTCTGTCTCCTGGACTAAGAGTGTCCTTAAATATTAGTTTACTTAATGTATATTTACAACTTAAATTCATTTTCCTTTTTTTCGCAATAAAATATGTTTTTTTAAAGATTTTATTTATTTATTTAATTGCCAGAGAGAGAGACACACACACAGTGAGAGAGGGAACACAAGCAGGGGAAGTGGGAGAGGGAGAAGCAGGCTTCCCGCGGAGCAGGGAGCCCAATGCGGGGCTCAATCCCAGGACCCTGGGATCATGACCTGAGCCGAAGGCAGTCGCTTAACCAACTGAGCCACCCAGGCGCCCCATAAAATACTCCTTTTTGTTTGAGATTATTTTCTGGCTCACTCATTTGTAAATGTAGACGTTACCAGGGTCTTCTCACTGCTCAAAGATAGTATGGCTTTTTCTCTCTCACTGCTCTCAAGAGATTCTCTCTCTGCAGGGAGAGAGATAGGACACCTTACCTTACAGGGGGAAAATCCTATGAATGACAGTGAATTTCTCATGAGACACCTTGGGTACCTTCTGATATATTCCGTAAGTCCTGAGACAGAGGACTGGCTAACGATGCCATATATTCTCTGTACTACTATTCAGTTCTTTGGAGGAGACCGAGGGTGGTGGAGCTGGGGTGTGGCTGGCCTCAGCCTGGGAGCCTTCTCTCTGAATGTGTTAAGACTACTGGTGAGTATGACACGATGGACTCTGAAAAACAAACTGAGGGTTCTAGAGGGGAGGGGGGTGGGGGGATTGTTCACCTGGTGATGGGTATTAAAGAGGGCACATTCTGCGTGGAGCACTGGGTGTTACGCACAAACAATGAATCATGGAACACTACATCAAACACTAATGATGTAATGTATGGTGATTAACATAATAATAATAAAAAAAAGACTACTGGGGAGTAACATAACATTAAAAAAAAAAAAAAGACTACTGTGTCTGGGACTCATTCAGCCAGCTAGGAAGATTGAGCTCTTTTATAGAAAAGTCCTCATGTTTCAGATCATTCCCCTAATTCAGGGTAGACTGGCCACACTGACAAAAAAATGAGAGTAGCATAATCCCCTTTGGTTCATGGTCTTCTGGTTTTGTGGGTCAGCAAGTTTCTGCTGAATACGTATTCATCTCCAGTCTATAGCTTGCCCTTATACCTCCTGCTCCCCTCATTAGAAAACCCTCAGAAGAGTAGGAAAGAAAAAGGAAGGAAGGGCGACTTCACAGTTCTATCGCTTCTTCTTCAATATTATTGGCTCGGCTAAGATGGAGGAAAAAAGGCTCCAGATAATTGCTTCTGCCCTTCTCCCAAGCCCTCTCATGACTTCGGCCCTGGGTCCCAACATCAGATGGATTTTATACCAGTGTGCTCCAAAGAATGTCCTCCAAATACAACACAGCTCCATGCCCCGAGACTAGACAGCTTAGGGTTGGTCCAAATTGTGTCAGGTTGGCTGACAATCTATAATTCTGTGTAAAATTAGAGCCCTAGCATCGGTGTAGAGGATCCTATCTTCAGGCTTTTTTTTTTTTCCACTTCCTGTATGTTTTGCCTACCATTTGTTTAAAGAAGAATAAAGTGGAAAACTTTCTAGTTCAGCTAATAAAAATTCTTTGTCAGGCTTATGAAAGAAATTTCTTCTAAAAATTACTCTTTGCTGCCTTCTAACATCTTAAGTTCTGAACAAATCCAAATATTTGAGCACCTATCATACACAAGACACAAGAATATAAAAATTTAAGCAACTTATTTCCTGCCCTGGACAAAATTATAGTGAGGTGAAGGAAGCAGGTAAGTACACCAATGATCACAAAAGACGAATCTTCAACTTAAAAACTTCCATGTGGGAAATTTCTTAGGTACTGGCCAATGCAAAAACCCACCAAATGCTTCCCGTCAATAATAGTGTCACTTTCAATGCACAAAAAAAGACACACAGCCCTTTGCAAGCCAGCATGGTGGTTGGTAGAGGGTGGTAGCGAAATACAGAGGAGAAAACATCTAAATTTGGCCAGTCCTTCTCCTGGCAACCAGAAAGTTCAGAGTAGTCATGCAAGCTTAAGAACAGCTCAAAACCAACCAGTCAGGAAAGGAGGATTTCTCCTGCAGGCCTAAATGAAGAGTATGTAAGGGAGAATATGTTCTTGGAGAGGCTAAATCCATTTCATTAGCTCTTCTGTTCTTTCTGTCTAGAAGAACATAGAAACAGGTGCCACTCAACATCCATTAGCCACCAAAAAACCAATTCATAAAGCACCCAGTTTAGAAAGTAGATGACACAAGGAGATCCAGCTTCTTAGAGAAACAGGATTTCAACTCCGATCTGAGGAGTCCCTCTGGCTCCAACTAGGTTGGTGGCAGGCAGACCTTTGCGAGTCCACAGTGCCCCTTGATGGTCTCCAAAGGTGAAAAATCATTTAACGTCTTTCCCATCTCTGAGCCTTACTAAAGCAGATTTGGGGGCAATGATTAAGGGAAAAATCTGCAGTCAGATTTGTTAATTAGAATGCTGGTAGTTGACTGTCATACTATCAGATGAAGCATCTTCAGGGGATAGGACAGTTTGCTCTAACTAGTGGTAGGTGGTTCACATACCTGTATTTTGACCACACGCTTTTCTTGTTCATACAAATATGATTTCCTAGCTTCGTACTCTTTCCTAAGAAGGGATCCTGCACTTGTGGCTTGAAGGCGAAGAAGCAAATCATCAGACGCAGACCACATCTTCTTGCGAACATAATCTGTTGTGACTTTCTCAACAGTGTCCTGGCAAGAGATATTTCTTATGGTTACACTTCACACATCAGGTGAAAGGAGCATAGAGAATAGCGTCTGGAGATTATATCTCTGAGAAAACGATACGGGTAACTCTTTCTGGCCTGGTTTAAAAACAGATTTGACCGGAGCCAAGGGATGAACTGGCTTAGCTTCTTTCTAGCAACACGCTTTTGGAATCTTCTGAACTTGGTGCTGAAGTGCTCTGAGAATTTGGTTGCGTGATCTCAGGACCTGGAGGCGGAGGTGCTGGCAAGGACCAGGTGTGAGGCCTGAGCTCCAGAACGTAAACGGGACAAGGATGATTACGGTATGAATATGCATATGCATCACCTCCTCCCTCCCCAGGGCTGCCGAGGAAAAGACTGCAGTGGCCATAAGTCTTCTGGCTCCTCTGCCCCCTTTCTTGTCCAGGTCAGAGTAGGCAGACCTCTGCAAAGAGCCAGGAGCTCAAAATAAACTGGGGGGAAAATAAAAGACTTGGGGCAGAAGGAAAGGGGGTGGGAGAGGAGAGACAAGCACTACCATGACCAGACAGGGGCAACTCTGTCTGAATGAGAAGGAACGAGGGAAAAGGAGGAAGGGGGGACTGTGAAAATCTGTATGTGGATTATGAACTGGGTTTGCTTTTTATGTTCTTTGAGAGATGCAAGCCAAGACTGGACTCACTTCTATGGCTGATGCTCTCATCCGGTGTGACTGCAATCAATGGGGGGCTAATTTAAAAAATTAAAACTGACATCATAAAAAATGCTTAAAAACCTTCAAAAGAAGACATTTTCACATTCATGAAATCAGTACTTTTAGACTGTCTAGAAGAAATAATTTTTTTAAACAGTGTAGATCTTCCACTTTTTAATAATCCTAATAGAATGATGCTTAGTTTCACAAAGTTACTCCTAAGGCATCTTTGGACACCACTGGAGCTATTGTTGGCTCCGAATTATAACCCTTTGATGCTGCTTCTTCACAGGTCCAAAGACCAAAAAGATATGTCTTTTCAACTACAGCACCTGGTTTTTACAGTTTCATTTTTCTACAAAGTAGCACTGATAATGCACTGCCACCTTAGTATTTTCTTGTAAACTGTGGCAATCTTGAATATTTGAAATTAGTTAATTAACTATCTTCTTCACTGTCTTCTTGTCATTCAGGAGTTCTGGTGGCACTCTCAGCCCCAGGCCATAGATTTTTCTTGGAGTTTTAGCAAATATACTGGTGATTCCATCCACGAAGTTGCTATACTGCAGTATCTTTGATGCTGGTGACTTTTAGCAATTTCGTAAGACCTACATTTGTGTGTTCTTTCTTTCTTTCTTTCTTTTTTTTTTTTTCCAAAATGGGACTAAACTATTACTAGTATTTTCTCTTTGAACATACTACAATGCATGGATCAAACAGCAATATTCACATCTTGTGGGTCCAACTTTGGTCTCAAGTCCAAAGCAATCTTGTGAACATCTTTTCAAGAGTGTTTCCCCCCAGAAAGCATTCCTGACTTTTTAAAGGACATACATGTTTCTGTGGTAGGCTGTGAGGGGGAAAGAAATAAGACTTTCCAAATACTGATAACCAAGAAATTATTACTAATTGAACTTTTGTGTCAGGGCAAACCTGAAGATTGATTTCTTAGGATCAGGTACCATTCCAAACAAGCTACAAAAGCTTTCTTCCCCTTGATCTGTCTGGTGGTGGTATGCCAACACAGAAATAATTGTAAAAGTTAGTAGCCATGCAACCACATCCAACTGCATTCATGAAGACTTTACTCTATGTCCAGCCTTCGATAAATCCATTATTTCCTCCCATCACTTCCATGATTCAAAAATAGAAAAGCAATCCACTTATTTTTTCATTAAACACGAACCTCCTACCTCAATTTCTTTTGCCATGAGCCATGAGTCTTTAGGCAAATATGGTTCAGGTGTGACCCAGGAACTCTCTTTTGAATCGATGTTGTAGTAGTACTCATATTTATCCTGCAGGCTGAGTTTGAGCCATGAACCTTCAGTAGACACTAAAGAAAAGAAATTTGTTACATTCTAGAGTGAAACACTGAACCCATTAGTGCAGTTTCTCCAATACACAAAATAATCCAATAAACAGTTTTTCACCAAGCATTCAAATGGCCTAAATAAAAAAAAAGAGAGAGAGAGAAAGAGAGAGAAATGACTCACTAAAATGAGTGAATTCTGTGTTTTCAATGGCAGCTCTCAACTCAGCCAAATCAAGAGGAGGATGGAGGGATGTCTAATGCTAGGGCTCTGGACCTCAAACTTCTCAGGAGGATGAGAAGAGTCACAAATGGCCAACAAGAAGGAAAAGCAAACAAAGAATATATGTCCCTGGGAGACGTGAACAGCATGAAAAATGGACAGAGGAGACCAATGAGCAAGAATCTTCTTTGCTTAGAAAGTCTTCCAGCAACTTCTCTGAGAAGGAGTGACCTGGAAGGACTGTGACTCTTTATTTAGGGAAAGCCAATGATCTTCATTAAACCAATGCAGAAGTGACTAATCTTTACAGACAACTTCATCTAAAGTAAAAACTGGCATATGCAAACACTAAGGTCACTAAGTACAGAGAAGGAAAATGTCCTGGTTTGACTCACCTTGCTCTACATAACCACACAAAATGAGAAAAAAAAATTGCAGAAAGGACTTAATTTGGCGGGGAGGGGAGGATGTACTAGAAAAAAAAATCTATGGCACTCATGGCTTAATTAGTTAAGAAGAGTATCTCCTCCTCAGGAATCCATGGGCTTTATTTCCTATTTAGAAATCTGTTTATTTTGCTGAACGGCCATGATTCCTGTCCCAGACCAGCGAGGTAAAACAACCACAAAAATAAACATAAACATGATCTGACCTAGATCAATCTAAACCAGCTGCTGTCAAGTGAGCCTTAGAGTAAACGTCTTTATAGGGAAATCAAAGTTGAAGTGAATTTCCTTACAGAATATTTAAATGGATTCAAATACCTAAGCAGGGGTAACTTCAAGGTCCTTGAATGTGTGTTGATTCTTTATTTGGTTTTAAATGCTTCTCAACTGTTCTGTGTGTCACTGCCCAGGAAAAGAGATGTTATCTCTTTCCAAACGGGCAGACAGCTGTTACCTGTGTAGAAATGTTGGCCCTACTAGAACCTATATTGTACAGTCAAATGAGGATGATCACAAGTAATCATTATGGATCTAAGGTAACTCCTAGGTTTCTGAATTGGGAATCTGGGGATACATGACTACATGCACCAGAACATGGCACAAAGGAAGAGGAGTAGGCAAGGGTCGTGGACAGAAGATTAATTAAGCTTAGGCCAAGATGGACTTGAAACTGAACTTAACCCCTGCATTAGTACTGTTGCATAAGTCTTTCTCCATGAAGGATGAGGTAGGGGACACTACAGTGACTCTGGATGAAGAGATGTGAAGGGAACAGGGAGGAGCTCAAAGGTGAGCAGATGCCAATTTAGAAAGAATGGCCAATAACCCTCCTCACACTTCATTAATGGGCAATTTGCTGAATTGAGGGGTGGAATCTCTGAGTTGGAAATACATCAGATAAACTTAGAAGTACACAGTGTACCATGGGAAAGACCTCCAGTTGAACTAAAAAAAACCCTTTTTATCCTCCAATTCTACTTCTTGGGCCATTCACATAGCTTCCCAAAGAAGAGTAGTCCATGACCTATGATGAGGTGCAAACAAACATTAGCCTGTGAGTCAGGAGACACTTGGATCCTTGATAGGACATGAAGTGCTCAGTAACCATCTACCAAAGGAACGGTGGCCTATCAAAAATTAACCTCTTTGGGTTTGTCATAGTCTCCCTCTGACCACAATCTCATGAATATGTTTCTAAATCTGAAAAATGAGTATAAGGCTCATGATCTCAAAGCTACTTTCCAGAGCTAACACTTCAGGGTCTGCCATTGGATTGAATAGGCATAAATACCTCCTGAGGTTATTGATCTGATCCCTTGGAGACCAGTTCATTCTACTTTATTCCACATTTTCAAAATTACTCTTTACTCCTACTTAAGATTGTACAATCATGTACCATTTGTTTCAAAAAGGATAAAGAGAAATATTAGTGTCAAAATCAGTTTGTATCACTAGAGAAATGGATCAATAAGCAAGCCCTAGATAAAGCAAAATCTCCTTAAATACTGTATTTTCTCAAGGTTATGATAACACCCATGCATAACCACCAAGTTAATCTGAGCTTTTCAAAAAAAACCTACGTCTAAAAAAAATTTTATTTTTTCTTAAAGATTTTATTTATTTATTTGAGAGAGAGAGAGAGAGAGAGCACAAGCCAGGGGAGAGGCAGAGCGAGAGGGAGAAGGAGACTCCCCGCGGAGCAGGGAGCCTGATGCAGGACTCGATCCCAGGACCCTGGGATCATGACTTGAGCCGAAGGCAGACGTTTAACCGACTGAGCCACCCAGAAGCCCAAGATAAAAAAATATATTAGAAATGTTCATTTTAAAGCAGTATTTGTCTTAATATTAATACAATACCACAGACAGCGTCATATTCAAAATGACATTTAGTTGGTGTTAAATGACTAAAAAGCTTACCACTTTTAGATTTGTGCTCTTTTGCCTTTGCAAGGGCATGATAGTACCTGTCAGCACATTCAGGGATTATGTCATTTGTGTTAGACATAGAAGACTTCAAGACAGACAAAATATCACTTGGCTTTTCTTTCTCCAAACACTGATTAACATCGATGACCAGTGTAACCCCTGCATCATGGAAAAAAAAAAAGTTTCTGTTAATGGTTATCTTCTACTTACCCTAGAGGTGTGCAAAGATATAATTCAATCTTTCAGGAACGCATTGGCATTAAACCTTTTGTACCCTTTCAGAGTATGCAACACATATACCCAAGACAGTCACCAACTCACCTAGCAGCCAGTTTAGGTTGTAAGAACAAGATCCCACAGAAGCACAGTTTATTAAAAATCATGGTATTTCCAGGTTACTCTCATGTGGTGTGAAGACACTAGGTCCTACTCCCTGTAGTGATCTCTAAGAGGAGTAAATGCATACGAACAGTAGATATGCAGTCCTTACGGAGGTCACTGATCTTAGGAAGACATTTATTTATTTTAGAATAAGTAAAAATCCTGATATTTTCTTGTATAGCACTAGTACACGTCACAAGATTTGTCATTAACCACCTAAACACATGTTCTAGAAAGGCAACAGGTATAGCTGGCAGGCATACACAATCCACTTAATTCTGAAGCCAGTTTAGACCTAGAAAACATCTTTTCCCATTTTAAGTTTCTGTCTCTCCCCATAAATCAAACCACACTGAACTCTTGGCTGTCTAAACAAAGTTAACATGGTGAATTCTTTTTTATCCACTTTAGTTCCAGCTAAGAATATTCTGGCCTAACCAATGAAAGTACTGTTTTCACAAACCATAAATGCACTGAATTAGAAATCTAGAACAAAAAAATTGAAGGAACCAGGTCAAAAGACAAAAAAAGTTTTCGATGAAAAGGGAAGAGGTGGATATTCTTTTTCCTTTTTTTTCTAACACACACATGTCAAACTCTACCATACACATGCTTAATGGTATATTGATGTCATCAAATTATGTTCACATGTACATGGAAGTACAAAAGCTGAAGGGGCAAAAAAAATGGAGTTTGACTTTCAACAGCGTAGAATCAAGGTCACACAAATCTGGAAGAGTACATAAAGAATCAAGAACTTCTGTAGCAAACTTAAACTGCTGCAAAACAAAAGGCAAAGCAGTATGCTCTTGTGTTTATAAGAGTTAATAGGAATGGATCAACAGTTTCCCTTTCCTCTTCTCCAGGAACGCTTTTGAGGATGGGACAAATGTGTTCCTGGTGTTTGAGAGGTTTGTGGTCTCAAAGAAGCAGGAGGAACAAGCAAATGACAAAGAATCCTCATGTGAATTACATCTGACAGCTTCAACTAGCCCAGTAGAATGGTGTATTCCTTAAAAGATGGGTATAATAAAGGCACCCATTTCTTGATCTAGAAATGTGCTTTATCATGGAGTACTGACCGGCAAGTGGTGGGTCCACAGGTTCATTTTCTAGGTAACTGAAACTTCCTCTTCCTCTTAAAAGAACCATTTTCCATGAAAAGTCTAAAGTCCCAGAGAAAACCCTAAGAGAACAGTGTCTCTTCCTGCTCATCATTTTATCCACAGTCCCTGGTACACAGTAGGTGCTTAATGTTTGCTGAGGCTGCCAGAAGAGTCCTTCTTGTCACTATACTGTGCTATAATACCCTGAGCCGTTGTAGTACTATGGAGGTGTTTGGGCTCCTTTGTTCCTGCACTAAATGGCCTCAAACCCCTTTGCTTTTTCAATTCCCCCTCCTGCCCCACCAGTTCTCTTCTTGCTGCTGTGTGCTTGCACAGAGCAGCCAACACCTAACTGCCTGGTAATCCGTGGCTTCTGACGTGCTCTGAGCTGGGAAGAGACATAACCGAACTTGTTAGCATTATGCCTAAGAGAAGAACACACAGGCTCCACGTATCTGTCCGAGGTGTATCAACGAGTAGAGGAAAGCAGGTCCAGAGGCACAGGCTTTGAGACATCGACTTTGATTGCTTTTTTTGCTTCATCTGTGGGATGTGGTTTAGTTCCAGATAACTGAAGATGTCAGATAAACGGTCTACATAAAGTCAGGGATGTTTGTCGTTAAAGAACAAATTAAGACACCTCCCATAAATCTCCTAAGAGACCCGAAAGAACTGTTTGTGTTACATCTTAAGCCATATACTGGCAGTCTTTCTCATGTTTTCTCTCCTAAGAGGTGAAACAATCCCTAGCAGGGCAAAAAATTGGTTCTTGGGGGGGAGGGGGCAAAACATCTTTTTGTGTATAAAGCATAGGCCTACATATGGTACATGAACAGATACACAATTCATCTGTGGTATTAAAATATCATGGTGGGAAGTACTTAGGGAAAATCTATCTGGAAAGATTCCTTGGGGTACAATGATGGGAGAAGGTTGGGAAATACTGCTCTCAGGAGTCAAAAGTAGAGACAGACCTACTTTAAGAAAGCAAGAGGCTCCGGTGGACATGAACATGGGCCCAAATGTAGGAGACTTGAGTTACTCTGCCCTTTTAAGTCTTGTCTGTGGTAAAACATATAGGGCAACACTTTTTCTTTTATTGGATTATCTGGGAGTGGGTTTGAGGCTTACAACATGTGACAAGAATCTGTTTCAAGTCTTCATACAAAGAATGAAGAATGCTTTTAAAGGTAAGATTAAACTCCTTTTTGACAAACTGGGAAATTCTCATCTTGATGTCAGAATATAGAAGGTTTTACTTCAGAACATCTTTTTGGTATTATTTATCATAGAAGATACTACGTCAACTCTTCCAAGGCACAGGGCAGAAGTGAAAGACAGGATTTTAAATGTGTAGGTCGGGAGTACACCATCACACAGAGTTGAGAAAGCCTCTGCCTTTCAGAGTCAGTAGAACCATGAGTGTCTCAATGGAAAAAACAGAACCAACTTCACATTTTCAGGCCACAGGTAGGAAGAACATGAATAAAATGAATGAAATGACTTCTAAATCGGTTTGATTTCTAAGAGAAAAAGGGTAACCCTTCCAGGCTGTTTGAGTGCCTATTTTTATCACCTCCTTTCTTAAAAGTATTTCTTCAAACTATGGCTTCCTTTAGGTTTATATTCAAATTTAAAGCTCTTACGGACACATTTCAAATTCATTTTATTTTTTCTTAAGGAGTAGAGTGCTAGAACGGAAAGACTTCAAAGACCCTAAGGGTATAAAAGTTCAGATTGGAGAAAGGCACATATTTTTCCAGGCTGAGGAAATAAAAACCAGATGTTCCCCAGGGATGCTTCCAAAGTTTAAAAGCACATCTTTGGGGGCAAGACTAAGGTATCTCAACAGCATTCTATGACCTTACAACAGGATACATCCTAATTGTGTCATGAATGGACAGGTTAATGAACAACACTTCCAGGAATCTTCATTTAGGTAGTTTATTTGTACATGTAGAGTGTTCGTGTATCATTCTTGAAGCTACTCTAGAATGCCATGTGATTTTTCATACTATTCCTCTATGAAAAGAGAGGCTTAGAATAAAATGAAAAGCTTAATCATTTGAGCCAATGAGGGGATTCGGCCAGGCGCAGAGTATGTCTATTCCACTTAGGCATTCTAGACCTGGGGAAGTCACCGTGGCTGGTTTGAGGACCCACTGGAAGAGAGAGCTAAAACCCCACTGATCACCTGACCTCCGTGAGCCCCTGCTCTGACTGGTGGACCACAGGGATGTTTTGGGCTTCCTGGAATTAGTATCCATTCAGAGCCAGTGTCCTATAATCCCTGAAAAGTCTGATTATGTCCTTTGACATCAGCACAGCCACCACAAAGATCGTAGACCTCTTTAGGGGAAGCCTGGAAGAAAGATGAACTGTGTAAAGTTTTGATAGTGTAGCAGTCCGTTCTCAAGAGGACTGGGTCTCCCCTTCATTCAAGGGGTTCTTGGTCTGTAAATGATTAAACACGGGAATTGATTTAGGGGACAAGACTCTGTGCTCTTGCTATTCAGGTTACACTTTTGTTCATTTGACCTAGAACTCTTCTTCCACTTGTACAAATCAAGTATGAACTTAGGAGACGGTCTGTCTCATTTCTAGGAACACCACGGTCAATCAGCCAATTCCACTGGTCTCTGTGAGTCAGACTATTCTGAGGAAGGCTTTGACTCTGCATCCATCACAGCAGCCACACGCACTTGCCTTTGGTGATTAAGTGCTGCCACCTGACCTCTAGGGCCCACCGCAGATTTCGGACTTGCCAGCCTCTCCACAACAGCATGAGCCAATTCCTTAAAATAAATCTCCCTCTTTCTCTATGTATGTGTGCATATAGATACTACATACTTTCCAGAGAAACAACTATTTATCTACAAACACACACACATACGCACACACACACACAGATACACACAGATATAGGACTATATATATAGCTGTTTTTTTCCCCCCCCCAGAGAAAAATATGTATGTAGTTCTGTTTCTCTGGAAAATCCTGACTAATACAATGGAAGACATGGAAGGGAGGAAAGGCATTTACTAATCAGATTGGGCTAGTTTCCTAAAGATCAAGATAAAAAAAAGGGCTTGCTCACACTATGAATTTCAGAGTTGAGGAACCATTTTTTGCTTTCTGGATTTTGTTCAGCAACACCCTCACATTTCACTAGTTAGCCCCTAATCACTGAAAAGAGTGCCACCACCAGTGAAGCTTATTTTTGTACAGACACTCAACAACTGAAATTGCTACGGATCCAAATCTTTTCAGATATTAAAAGTACAGAAGTTAAAAAATTATTTAAATAAAAAAGTAATTCAGTGGCTTGACCAGCAAGGCACATGGGACCAGCAAAAGGAGATGCAGGCTTACATTGTTTTGCTTTGTCCTTGTCTGCGTTGGCCTCATTGACCGCGAGCTGTATCTCATCCAGCCAAAGAACTTTGGAAACACTCTCCGAGTCCTGGGAATATTGCCACAGAATAAAAGGAAGAATAGTGAATGATGATGAACAGAATCAGTAACGGCTTTTCAGGAGCCCATTTTTATAGTTCCTACAGACTCTCATTCAGCACCTACCAAGCACTGTCATAACACTGTACAAACTATTAACGAAATAACCCCCAAATCCAACCTCTTCTCCCTTCTCTACTGTCACCCCTTTAGTCCAGCCTACCATCACATCCCACCTGGATGGGTGCATTGGTCTATTTGTTTTTGTTGCTTCCAAGACTGCCCTCTACCACAGTGGTCCTCTACAAGGAAGCAGATGATCTCTTCAAAATGGACATCTCACTAGATGACCCGTCTGCTTAAACTCCTCCACAGGCTCTCCCCTGCATGTAGGAGAAAATAAAACTCCCTTCCCAGGCACTGTGGGGATCTAGCAATCCAGCCCTGCTGACCCCTCTGGCTTCACTCACACTCTTCTATTGCTTGTCCCAGACGTGCACAGCAGCCTCCTTCAGAGCCCAGCATTCTACCCCAGCTGTGTGGTTGTTGATTCTTTCTGACCCTTCAGGCCTTAACTCAAATGTCACCTCCTCCTCAAAAGCCTTGTCTGAATACTCTCTCCCTTAATCACTAACTGTGGTACCCAAGATGGCCCAGAATACCACAGGATATTTTAAATTTGAGGGAAACACAATGACATTTATCAGACAGAGAGACAAAAATAAGGCAAAGAACCCTCAAGGACCTAACAGTTTAGTAGAAAAGATACATTTATCTAAAAACAATGATACTACAATGTGATCACGGTAATAATAGCTGTAGATACATGATCTAGAAACAGTCAAGAAAGGATTAACTTATAGTAGGGGTGAATTCCAGGGGGGAGAAAATAGTAGCTAAGGACAGCTTCAGAACGGAAGTGATAAAAGCAATCAAAAGGTATTACCTTTACGATTCATTTTACTTTTGGGTTGGTTGTGATGATCATACTACAAACATGGTGCTGGCATGTAATGTAATTATATGGGACTTCCAGGCTGTAACTGCCAAGATTACATAAACTTGCCCAAGATTACAAGTAAATACTATCAGGAAAAATTAAATATTTTCAGGGAAGAAGAGACATTTATTTTTAAACAATTGGGGACATTTGCCCATGTGTAGTATTAAGTGTCACGTGCTAAATGCAAAAGCAAGGCTGTGATGAACAGAAAGCCGTTCATCAGAGCTATGGAGAACCAGCTCCACCATTTCGGACTCATGGTGGATGGATGGGTTGCAGGAAGGAGAACTAACATGCATCGGCTCCTCCGGCAGGCTTTAATACTATTTCCCTCAGAGACTAACTTGAGATAATGTTTGTGGAAAGCACTCTGAAATGAGACAAGTACAGCCTAAAAACTACGTTCCATACAAGTTCATTTATGTATGTTTCAGTTTTTTTGAAGAGCATTTACCACATTCCTTCATAACTTATCGCTATAGAAGATACCCCATACAAACTTTTGCCCAGATGAGAAGGAAGTTAACAATCCCACTTCAAAGCTTAAAGTATCTGTTTTATAGGGCAAACCAAAGAGAAACTTGACAAAGCAAATGAATTTAAGTCAACAGCTTAAATCATGACTCGTTACATTAAAGGATGCTTAGAGTTAGATACAAAACCAGGAGTAAAAACTGAATCCTACCAGTTTAAGGTCTCCTTTTAAATTGCTCACTAGAAGCCTGGAACTATATTTATAGGATGGTCAGGGCTCCACCTCTAGCTAAGGAGTCAGATTCAGCATATGAGTTACAAATGGATTAAGTAAAGAGAAGCTAGACCATCTGTAAATCAAGACATAAATTCCTGAATTTAGACGAGTCCTAGGCAATTTTAATTAAACAAAAAAGTACCCCTTTCAATATTTTGTGGCACTTTGGTTTTTATTTCTGCGATAAAATAGCTTTCGGTCTCAGCTTCTGTTACCATATATTTTGTAGTTGAAATATCAGACCCTGACTTTTGATTGCAAAACTCTTCCTGTGACGCAATTTAATCAAGTATGAAAAGTTTACACAGATCAATTCCTTCCTGGCTTATCCCTCAGCCTGTAAGTCTTGGGTGAAACCTGCATTTTCTGATTCTTGCTGCATTTTATATGCAACGTGCTGTTGGATCGTTTGGCTTAGTGTTTTATCTTAAATTGTGTTAATTACAGAAAAACCTGTTACAATGCAGTTGTTATTGTTGTTGTTGTTGTTTTTTACTACACATTAAATCATATCCTCCGGGAAATAACTACTCACAAAAGCTTATATGTTGTGCAACAATGTGATCATACTAAACACTATTGAGTTGTACCCTTAATAATGATTAAGATGGTCAACTGCATGTTACACTTATTTTGCCACAATTAAAAAAAGAAGCTTATTGTAGACTGTTCACCAACAACCATGGAGTAAACAGAGTTCTCTGCGTTTCAAAGTTGTATCATGATTTCAGTTTAACCGACAAGTATGTTGAGTTACGGCAAAACAAAACACCCTAAAACCAGGTCTGGCCAAGGAGTGATGACAAATTCAGACCAATGTGGACACTGATGGAGAATTTTCCAAAGTAATCAAGCTCTGACATTTAGCTTCCTAAAAAATGCTTGCTTTCCATAATTCAGTTCATGTATAATTATGTAGAGAGTTTAAGAATTATGATTTGAAAGAGCTGAGAGGATAAGGAAAAGACAGATTCTGACAGCTCAATTACTGAGTAGAAATTACCATCTGGAAGTGTGTTTTTTATAAATGGATAAAATTGAGATATCTGACAGTCTCAAAACTAACTACTACTCAACATCTACTGTCAGCTTACTTCTGGAAAGGACTGTATGTTACCTACATTCTTTCCATGCACAGAAGTATAATGGCTGGGAATTACCGCATCTACTCTGAACGGATTTTTAGGGGTGGGTAAGAGTTAAATGATTTTCTCCGGGGATAAAGTAATGTGCTCAGAGGCTCAGCCTGAGTCATGCGCACTGCAACATGAGTACTGTCACACCCTTTCCCTCCAGAGGACCTGGGCAAGTTTCCCAGTCTGCGGAGCCCAGGACAGCACACTCTTCAGGGGAGAACAAGGTTTCCATTTGCTGTTAACACATGAAATGGAGGTGGAACTGTGCTCCCTAGTTCTATACATTTAATAACATCCGGGAAACAGGACTCAGGTCACCAAGATGAAAGCCCTCATCATTGTTGCTGCTGGAGTAATGCTTCTGTCGCCCACTTTTTGTCAAAGCGGTAAGCTCTTTTCTTATGGGGCATGTTGGGGGTGCTGGTTTGTGTAGCAAGAATGAACTGCATCCAATTTTCTTTGCGTTTCACACAGTCTGCCACCCAAAAGGCAGAGCTTAGTGTTTGTTATTAAAAGGTAGCATCACAGAAGTGAATAGCTATGGTCTGTTCACTCTATTCAACCCTTGCCAAAAACTAATGTTTTCTGCTGAGATTTAAAAATTTGTGGCATGGTCAAGATTTTAGATCTCTAAAATGAAGAATCAAATTTCTTTGTGAGAAGATTCCGACTTTCTAAGAATTTCCTCTGAATCAACAAAGATAGCACATTTTCAAGAAATTTAAAAAAAATCCCAAGTTTATACATTCTCTTGAAGCACAAGTGGGGGGAAACAAGGATATTCCCAGAAAGAAAGAGTGGTCTTTCAATAAGTAATGCTAACAAGTTAGTGTTTCTTAATGAAATACCTTTTTTGACTTTCTCTTTGTATCACGGAGTTTTCCCTATGTTCACATGATTTTTTAGTTTGAAAAATGAGATCTCCCAGATACTACAATTCAACTCTTAATGTGTTTCCTATTTCACTCAACACAATGTTAGCCTGTCACCTCCTGCTTACTCCGAAATAAACCAGTTTGCAATAGATCTGGAGCCACAGCTTTTTTTTTTTTTTTTTCACTGTTAGGTCATTCTCCTGCCAACATTGTTAGGAGCGGGAGAGTGGGAGAGCTGGGGTTGAGGGGCAGCGATGAAACAGAATAAATAGGAATGCAACAAAACCAAGTCTCCATAAAGGAATGTTGCTTCAGTCGCCAAGGTGGTTGTAGGAGTGTCCCAAGAGAACCCACTCAGAGCAATAGCACATGTGTGATTCATGAAAAGGACAAGTGACTGTTCTTTCTGGGTGTGGATGGATGCAAATACAGCAGAAAAGCAAAAGAAAAGTGGTTTGTGAAGGGGGTTCCTTCAAGATGCCGGTGGGGTTTCATAGAGGCGAACAGGGGGCATTTAAAGATGACAAAGGAAAAGGCAGTGCATTTGCTTTCTTCCATGGGGTTGGGGGAGAAACGTGAGCGAAGAACCGATTGTTTAGAGGCTGAAATCTGGTCCCCCTGGATCAGTCCTTTTCTCAGACCTTTCCCCAAGTTAAAAACATTTCAGAAACATTCTGCCAAATGGAAGACTGTATTAAGAATTCATCGAAATTCTTTAAAAATATGTAAAATTTAATGATGAGTACTATTCTGAAGGCACACCAGACTCTAAGGAATAAGACTTATTTAAGTTGAACCAGATCTGGAATTCTCATGGAAAAAGGAATCGTGACTTTTTCACAAAGTCACTGTTTACCCTGTTTTTAGGCACCATGTCTTGCTTAAACACAGGAATTTTCTGCAAACTGACAAACACTTCGTTTCAAACAGCTCTTATCAGATCCTGAAAGGAAATAGCTTGTACACCATGTTCTTCAGCTACTGTCTTCCAGCTTTGTGCCTACTTCCCAAGGCACTTCTCTATGGGTGATACCAAATTTAAGCATTTTGCAAAATGCAAAATTGAGAACGATTTGTGTGGCTGAACTCAAGCATCACGCAACACACCTTCAGAGTTCACATCCAAACACAGGCACAGAACACTTCCCAGAATTTTTCTTTCTTTTTCATTAATCTATTCTCCTGTAAATGACACCTGAACACCTCCCTGTCCCTACTTGTTCAGGCAACACTTTCTGTCTTATA